CTTTCTTGTATTGTATATTTAACTGTATATGATTTAACAGTTCATTCCTTGTTATATATCTACTTATCTTTATAAATAAATATATTAAATTATCAGCAATTTGGTTTTATCTCTCTAGAGAACCCTGTCTAACACACCCTCTTACCTCCGAGGAGGAAGTACCAGAATTCTCAGGAGAAAGTCATGCCCACACAGAAGCCTCGTTGGCTAGATTCCAATTGATAGACTAGATTCCACCCCTTCACTCAATACTCGCAAATTGACAGTTATATAACTCCCACAGTGATGTATCTGCTTGTTCCACAGCCTTCTGACAGTTGGCCCCGGGATCCACCGGCCAGATCACAAGCCAGGCTCTGGGGTGGTTGGATGGTGTGCGGCGAATGAATGGCTAAGCGTGCACTTCCCCGGTGCACTCCTTGGGTAAAGCCCATGTCAGCATGGAGGGAGGTTCACTTGGGGCCCTGGAATCCCTGGCCTGGGGAAATGAGTCCCGTCTCCTAGAGGCCTCTGGAGCTGGGTGGGTCATCAATTGCTCTAGGACTCTGGATGATTCAATTAGGTGTGTTAGTCCGTGCATAATTGACTGGAGTTCATCCTGGGGCATTTGAATTGAGCAGCTTGAAATTTGCCAAAGAGATTGAGAACCGTGAAAATGCGTACATAGTGTTTCCATGTCTTTGAATGAATTGGGGTGAATTCCTAGGTAGGCTCCGGTTGTGGATTATGTGTCTAGGATAGAATAGGAAGACCTCTTGGGGTCAGAGTCCACCATTCCAAGTGCAAAGCCCCCCAAACTTGATGGTGGTCTATGCCTTGGATGGGGACTCTGGAGTGAGCACCTCAGATCGAAGTCCCTGCACCATCATTTGCTACCTGTGTGAGCTCCAGCACCTGCTAAGCCCAGTTTACGTCTCCGTTGTGTCATCTAAAGTGGGCTTAATGACAGCTACCTTGTAAATGGGAGGGCTGAGGAGGAAAAATTATTTAAGAGCTGCAAATAATGAACTCAGTGTGTTTCTTCAGTGTACAGTGTAAAATAGTAACTTGTGGATTAGAGCCTATAGAGATGTGAAAAACTCTTTGTAAACCTATGGATTATGCCGATGTTACCTAGCTTGGTACCAGGGGCCCAAGACCAACTCGAGGCTGAAGGACCCCAGGAAATGTCCAATGCCTTGAAGGAGCCATATGAGGTGTAATAGTCTAGGTACTTTGGAGAAACAAATCCACA